GGGTGGAGTTTCTAGAGCTCGCGCACCGGCATCATGCCATTGCCATCAATAACAAAACACTCTCACGCACTGAAAATGTCAGAAACTGCTTGTTGCGGTGTTCAGCCATATACTGTATGTTCAAAACGGTGTCATGCCGAATTCTGCACCCTGCCAAATTATTTATGAATTACACAGACGGGGAGCACGGCGCTATAAAAATAACAACATAGCTGGTCTCATGGTGCCATCGCGTGCTAACACGAACTTTATAAGTCCCGAATATGATTATGAGCTAGACAAATTCAAGCGGTCGATTTCACATTGCTTTCATATGCAATTTTTAACTACCACATTCCTATTCACGATCATTCTGGTAGCATGTGAAGGCAGCATCAGTGAAAACAGACAGACAATGGTAGCTTTAGCAACATTAGCCTTACATAGTGCCAAGAAGCTCTTTCAGAAAGGCAATTTGGAAAACAAACGCGTGATACTTACTTCTTCTAGATGGCGTAACGTTAGCTGGATCACGAACAGTTGGCACTGCTCCATCCTTCAGGAGCAACTTTTGTGCAAAACCTGCTTTATACTGACCCTCATTCACAAAGCAGTCCGGTGTAAAATGATTCGCGCAGACATAAACAAATTTCTGTAGAGTTGAAGGGAGCATTTTCTTCGAAAACAAAATTAATCCACCTCATCTTCAGTGGCTCAGATTTCGGGAGTAAATGGAAAGAGCTATGTGGATTAATACATCCAGCAACAGAACACCTAAAACGCTTGGGAGACATTCTCGTCAGTGCAGCAATGGCGGACTGTGAACAACTCGCTGTGAACTCGCTCAGGGCGGTTCTACGTTAAAACGGCAGTGTCTGTCAACATTCGTGGGTGGGGCCTGTGGCTAATGTGACGTCACATTAGCACCAATGCTAAAAATAGGCCATTGGGAGACACTGCTTATTATTTATGGGGATTTAAAAAGAAGGAGTGGGTGGATTTTTATCATTATAGGGTGGTTGTGTACACACCCTGCCAACTCGCATTTATGTCCAAACACCTTGCAAAAGTGAATTTTGCATAATAGGTCCCCTTTAACATTTATTTATTTATTTTTTTATTAATTAATTTATTTATTTAGTAGGACTGTCAGTTTAACGCGTTAACTTAATTAGTTATGAAAAAAATTACGCGATTGACATATTTTAATACAGTTAACGCGAGTGTTGATTTTGTCACGAAGAACACGAGTGCAAATCATAGACTGTAAATAAGAAGTTAATATTGTGTTATATTTTAAACACAATATTGTGTATTTTTGTTAAATTTTGCCAAAGAAAATATTAACTATAAAGCCACCGCAAAACTGTTGTGCGTCTCCGAGCAACACAGCGGAGTTTAGTTTCTGAATGAATCCGCGTTTTGAACGAATCGTGTGAAACAATGATTCAAAGAGAGAGCCGTTTACTCCATTCCTGAATAAATCAGCCATTTGAACGAATCATAAAAGCATTTACCGCCACCTGCTGGCAGATTTAGTTTCTTCTTTAGAGTATCATTTAATTTATTAAAATAATAAATAAATAAAAACATCAAAGGGATAGTTCACCAAAAATAAATAAATAAATTCTGTCATCATTTACTCACCCTCATGTTGCTTCAAACCTGAATGACTTATTTACTTTTGCACAACATAAAATAAGGTATTTTGAAGACTGTTGGTAACTAAGCTGTTTTGGTCGCTAGTGACTTTCATTGCATGAACAAAAAATACTGAGATGTTTCTCAAATCATCTTCTTTTATGTTCCATACTTTATGTTAGGCCATTGTATTCTAAATATTTAACACAATAATTGCTTTAAATTATGTTTTGAGGTTATTTTCACAGCCAAATTTAGTTTGCGATTAATTAGATTAAATAATCGCAGCACCCTGTAATTAATTAGATTAAAAATTGTAATCGACTGACAGCCCTATTATTTAGTCATGCATTCATAACTGCATTTCTTGTTTTATCTTGTTATTATTTTATGTATCTATACATGCACAATTATATTTTCAGTTTTTATATATTTTTCATGTATGCATGAATAATTGCATTTTCTCTCTTTCTTTCTTTCTTTCTTTCTTTCTTTCTTCACAATTGCATTTCAGCTTTTCATTTTTTATTTATGCATGTATTCATAAATGCATTTCTTGTTTTAATTTATTTTATGTAAACATGCATAATTGCATTTTGTTGTATTTATTTTTTAATGCATGCATAATTGCTTTTTTATTATTATTATTTTATATAGGCATTTTATTTTATTACTTTATTTTATGCATGGCATGCAATGTGCGATACTTATCTGGCATAATGAGAAATGAAGATCAGAATTTTTGTGACAGCATTAAAGGGATAGTTCAGCAAGCGGACTCTCATGACTGTTCTGTTGTTTTTGATCATCTTTAATAGCATCTGAGACTTCACCTTACAATGCCATGAAGTCTGATGATGATTTGGTCAAGGGTCCAGGGCAGAGGAAAGCTTTAGGTTAACCAAAGCTGCATTGCATTCCCCACATCTGATCAGAGGTTTTCAGATCAGTTGGAACATAAATGAGAGCAGCAGGCTATTATGGACTCGAATAATGCACCAATTTTCTTATCTCTCCAGACCAGCTTGATGGATCTGTCTGATACAGGAGCCATAGATTATTGTGTAGCGCGAGGAGAGCAGACAACATCCTCCTCCTGAGAAACCTGAGATGCTTTAACCCGAGCTGTTTTTAAAGGGACAGTGTTTTGTGAGGGGAGGGAAAAACAATCATTATTTTCACAGTATGTTTCAGGAGCAGCTAATCTCTGATTGAGACTGATAGTGCAAACATGGGTCTGCTGAAAGCTACATGAGGGTTGATAGCATCTTGACAAACTATGAATTGTTGATAGAATCTGGTTTGCTGTCAGGTTGGCCCAGAAGCGCTCTCCAAACACGCAGTCAGGCCGCTGCTGGTTATCTGTGTAATCTGACAGGAATGGACATTTTGGTCATTATGTTTGCTCAAGTATTTGACAGATAAATCAAATCGAGAGAGGGTGTAGGGGACACGCATGGTATAATTAAAATTATATATAAAATTATAAAATACAATTATAGTATCCTATTTAGTGCTGGGCAACGATTAATCGTATCCAAAATAAAGGTTTTTGTGTACATAATATCTGTGTGTGTACTGTGTATATTTATTATGTATATATAAATACACACACATGCATGTATATATTTTTAAGAAAAATTTTCTTGCCAAAAATCTATCTTGCCAGTGTTTAAATATGGTTGTAGAGGACTTTTTATATTGTATACTATATAATATGATTTGTATATAGTATAGTATATAAAATATATAATATATAGTATAGACAAAGTTGTAAATAAAACAAATATTATCTGAGTTTTTCTACCTAAAAATTTCACACATAATTTAGTGTTACTTGCTGTTTCTTCATAATTATTTGTGGAATTTACTAACAATTTCTGAGTGAAAAGTGTTTCTATTATTAGTAGTATTTTTTTCCCCAAGTGTAGCAGTTTAATTTCAGTCACTAATAAGTCTCTAATAAAAGACTCTAAAAAGTCACATGGCACTTACAGCTCAGGTGATTGGCTCAAAAATGTTATCGTCCTATGAGCATGAATATTAAAAGTATTCCAAATATGGCTAGTTTTAGATTGGACATTAAAAGTTTTCTCTAAAGTAGGTTGTTTAATTGATTCATTTGTATTGGTGTATGTTTAATTGTGATTGTAAGTTTTATAAATGTGGGATTTTATTGTCATTTTTGTATTTATAATACAATGCCAGTGTACCTGTCACCAGGAGTGAAGTTTGTGCTTAACATAAAGGACCACAATGCAAACAAGTTTTTAACTGTATTGTTTTCCTTGACAAATTGAGTGTATTTCACTACTTTTTTGTGTAATAAATCAAATCAAAATCAAATCAGCAAAGATAACAAATGTTGAGGGGATTCTGCACCAGTTGGTTTTGCATTGATGCATTGATGACACAAAGAATTGCTATAAAATGATACCACAACCACTAACTTTTTCAAAAATGGGGGCTTTTTGCCACATTTTTGTGTATAGTTGTTATAAAATGTTTTGAAGTTTGGATAAAAGAGTCAGCACTGTTATTGCGTTTCGAGGATTGTTCATGATCGATTGTCCTCATGCCCAACCCTAGTTCTGTTTGCTGACACCCCCACACAAACATTAAAACACTTCATTTTTCTCACTTTCTTTCCTCTCGCACATTCCTCTGCTTGGGTTTTCTCTTGTCATTTTAATCCCCATCTCTCGTGCTGTCTTTCGCTTGCTCGTTCTTTCCTTCTCTCTCTATTTCAGTCCTCCCCTTCTAATAAATTATGTATGCCATTTCTGCCAGGCTGAGGGCTGCATCGCTGCCTTGCTGAAATTGCTCTCTCTCTCTTTCTCTCCGTCTCTCTCTCTCTCGCTCTGGCGCTCTGCACACAGGACCGAGTCTGCTCTCTCAGAGCTCACTGCAGCTCAGCTCGAACCCAGAGGGCTCGCTCCAGTACTCCGCCAGCTACCATAGTAACCAGACCCTAGCCCTGAGCGACTGCTTGTCCGCACCACAATCTCAGCAGCCTCAGCCCCCTCCGCGCTCCAGCGGGCAGCCCGGAGGAGCTGTGCACAGCTACAACCAGGTGAGCGCAGCTTCTTTCCTCTTTTTCTTCGACTCTCATAATACATCCATCTTTCAGTTTTGTATTTTCACCGAGACGACTCGTGATCAGGGACGTTGTGGTGCTTTTGCATTGTTTTTTTTTTGGGACTGGCACGAAACAATTTCCTGGGCTCCAGCTGGGATCATATTTCAAGCTGCTGCCTAAAAAGTGATTTCGAGACCTGATTAAAGCAATTAACTGCAAGACCGAAGCATTTGTTAGCAGACGCCAGCGGTACTGCATTGCATCGAGCGGCAAGCGTGTGCGCGACAAACTTTGTCATTATCCTGGGAGTTAAATTGTGCCCTGTTGATGAGACTGTAATTACAGCAAACCCTGCAGGGCGGTTTCTCCCAACTTTCATTTCTTTTAAACGAGTCTAGCGCACCTGCTATGAGCTACGAACGTTGCGGTAAAAAGGTACGGTTTCTGTTCAGTCCACAAATATTTAATTTCCTCCATGTTCGCTAATTAACTGACTGTTTAACACATGCAAATGAAGAAGAAGAGCTTGAGCGGTTGGTCACGATAAAGCTGACATTGGCACATCCTCTCGCTCTCTCTCTCACTCGCTCGTTCACCCTCCCTTTTGCTCTCTTCTCTCTCTCATCCTTTGACACTTTTAATGAACACATAGGCCCTCTGTCTTTTAATGAAAGATGCCCAGCGTCCTCGGCCTTCCGGACTTGTTTCTGAGAGAGTCGAGGGGGGCCTTGCTGCAAAGATTCTTTGAAAACATTAATGCAGTTTCTCTGGCTTACAAGTGTGCTTTCTTAATAGTGAAAGCAGAAACTGCATTGTGTTTCTTTCTCTCCTGTATTTGTGCGGACTGTCGGCTTGATTCTGTGGAGGGTAATCTGAAGAGCGCTTGTCTGCTCTAGGATGGGTTTATATAACACAACGCATCAGTTAGGTGCTTTTATGTAGATATTTTTAACACCATAAACCTCTTGTTCCCTAAATAATTAATCTACATCAGGAACCAGTAGCACTCTTCAAGTAGGTGTTCCTCTGCTCTCTGTGCCTGGATGTGGTTCCCCCTCTGAGCTAGAGAGAGAGTGAGAGATGGAGAGATAAAGTATTTGGCAGAGGAATGATGGTATAATTGCATTACACCTTGGTATAACATGATATCGAGCTATTAACGCCTTTTTTTAAGTCTTCACAATCTCTCCTATCTTGAGAGGTTTTTTTCTTCTTCTTCAGAGGATTCTTCCATCTCTACCATCTCATTCATTAAAGTCTTTTCTGTAGGAGCTGCAAAATCCTGAAAATAAAGATTAAAGTTACAACCGAAAGGCTTTTTGCAGACTGAGAACACATTCTCTAGTTCTTTATAGTAAACCATCTCCAAGCAGGGCTTCAGGATAGATAGAATCAATATGCTGCTTTAAAGACTCTACATCAAGAATGAGGTGATTAAGATTTGGCCAAGTTGGTCAAGCATTTTGTCCCATGTGAAGCTTTGGGATCTATCTATCTATCTATCTATCTATCTATCTATCTATCTACCTATCTATTATTTATCTATCTATTTTTTTATTTTATTTTTTTATTTTTCTGTAGGAGCTGCAAAATCCTGAAAATAAAGATTAAAGTTACAACCGAAAGGCTTTTTGCAGACTGAGAACACATTCTCTAGTTCTTTATAGTAAACCATCTCCAAGCAGGGCTTCAGGATAGATAGAATCAATATGCTGCTTTAAAGACTCTACATCAAGAATGAGGTGATTAAGATTTGGCCAAGTTGGTCAAGCATTTTGTCCCATGTGAAGCTTTGGGATCTATCTATCTATCTATCTATCTATCTATCTATCTATCTATCTACCTATCTATTATTTATCTATCTATTTTTTTATTTTATTTTTTTATTGCATTTTACAGTTTGTTTGTTTATTATTTTAGTTATTTTTTTAAATTGATGTATAGGTGTTATTGCTTTTATTAGTTGTGCAAAAATGTTGACATTCAAAGCCCTACCTGCCAAAATCATAATCAGCAAAGATTTTTAGAGTAAATTCAGATGCTGAAAATTGCAGCACTTTGTTCTTTTCATCTCAATGACAAAAGTGGCCCAATTTTTCTGAATTAGCCAGCTCAACAACTCTATCCACGAGAACTGTTCTTGATAGGGGATTGCTCATAGATGGTGCAAAGCACCACTGAAGAGTTTTTTTGTTTATGAATGCAGCATATAGGCAAACAGAGCGGGGTTTAGCTTTAAATGTCATACAATTTTCCTGCACAATAATTCTCTCCGTCTTAAAGACCTTTGCCTCATATTTATTCAACTTTCCAGACTATTTAAATATTATTACCTGATATCAATGCAATGAAGGAGGAAAAAACGCAGCTAAGCTTTTTACCCCCCCACTTGAAATTGCACTGACTGCCAGTTTAAAAATAACCTCATTTATTCTGAATAAGAATAATCAGGTTTCATGCTTTCTGTAAATGAGAAACAGTGGAACCAATGTTTCATTGTAATCACCCACAATCGTCATGGTCATTATGAGGAATCTAAAGGAAGAAATGTTTATTCACACGCCAAAGCGTCTTTCTAAATGACTGGCACTGCGCCAGCGTTAATTTGCCTGGGTTTATCTGCGCACGCCTGCCCTTCTGAATTACAGGCGATGCAACATTCATTGACATAAGGGGTGGTGATCCCGTGAGGAAATGAGACATATGGCCGTGCATGTATATGCATTAACTTCCGTTTACAGGCATTTTTATGTTTTCAGGATACATGCTTCATCTGTTACTTTCAAGGGAATTATTATGATTTTTAAGGCTTTCTGAAGAATGTATGCCCTTGTCTCATACATTACCATTTGAATATCAAGTAAACCACCTTGAAGGGATAGTTTTTCACCCAAAATTGAAAATTAATTTACTCACCCTCGTGTCATGCCAAACCTGTGACTGACTTTCTTGTCGAACACAAAAAAATATTTTGAAGAATGTTTTTGTCCATTTTTGTCATATTATGAAAGTTTACTACAAAAAAAAAAAACTTTCCCAAAAGGTCATAAAGACTACAATAAATATGTCAACACAAACCTCAAATTCCATGATGTTTGGTCACACGACATGCAAGAACTTATGTTTTTTCATTTTTTTATTTTTAAATGTCTCCTAAGCTCACCCCAGGCTGAATTTATTTAATCATAATAGTGAAAACTGTAATATTCTGAAATATTATTACAATTTAAAATAACAGTTTTCTATATTAATACATTCAAAATTTTTATTTATTCCTGGCATGTCAAAGCTGAATTTTCATCAGCCGTTACTCCAGTCGTCAGTGTCACATGATCATTCAGAAATCATCCTAATATGCTGTTTTGCTGCTCAAGAAACATTTCTGATTGTTATCAATGTTGAAAACAGTTGTGCTGCTGGATATTTTTTTGTGTAAACCATGATACATTCATTTTTTTCTGGATTCTTTAATAAATAGAAAAAAAAAACTTATTTTTAAAATTATTTTAATTTTTTTTTTTTTTTTTTACGTTTTTCCTTTTTTAGGATCTGTTATGATTAGATATAACAGTAATCTGTCTCTCCCCACAGGTGACATCTAACCGTGCAGCCCAGCTCGCGGCGGGCGACTCTTGTCAGAGCCATGGCAGTGCCCTGCTGTCTGATTCCCAGCACCCCTCTGCAGTGTCCAGCCCGGGCCTGTATTACTCCAGCTCTACTCTGCCTGCCCAGCGCATCAGCTCACCCCTGAACTCAATGCAGTCCACGGCGGCCAGCGGATCCCCAGCTAAACTGCAGCGTCTGGGCTCGGCCTCCGACACACCCGGCTACGCCACCACCCAGCGTCTGCCCTCCTCGTCCTCCTCAGCCTCCCCCAAGCCTTCCCCAGGCAGGCTTGCGAAATCCTATAGCAGTAGCTCACCGATCAATGCGGTGGGCATCGGAGGATCACCCGGTACTCACGCTTCAGGCTCCCCTCACCGGTTGATGTCTCCTCCCAATAACGCGTCGCCTATCTATCAGCAGCTGCAGACCGCGGGAGTGTCGACTTACGCTACGCTTTCACCCCCCAAAAGGCTGGTGCACTCATCTGAGCAGTACAAGATATCCCACGATCTCTACGCCACCGCCACTCTACAGAGACC